TAAAATGATGTTCTGTGAAATATTATTGATGAGATGTGTGACTTTAGATTGATCTTTAGAACGTTTAAAAAGTGCTTTAAAGATTATTTATCCCGTAAATGAGCATTGTCTCTAAAAATAAGATTTTAGTTGTAAAAATGGGTATAGATAAAAAAATTATATCGTATGTCGATAGGGATGTACTCGATGGCACAGTACAGCGAGGATACTTGCAATATGACAAGCAATAAATAGGCCCTTTTTTAATTCTATTGTGTACATTAAAAACAATTATGTGAATGCTTGAAAAGAGATTACTTGAATTTAACACGAGATCGAAGGAGGTACCAATTTTACATCTTCTTACTCAGTGTAACAATAACAATACATATAGCGTCATATTAACAAAAATTACGCGGTTGAATGTTGCAAAGTAAATGAGAAAAAACAAAAACAATATGAAAATATTTTAAAAAATGAACAAAAACAAATGGTAATTAACATATACATACATAAAGTTTCCACTTTACACTAATCATAACAATGATATAGGTGTAAGAATCAGTTAAAAACAATGACTTAAGAAAATTGTAATGCTGTACAGAATATTTATGATGAGGCCTGCCTTTTACAAGATTGTACCGAAAAAGAATCGATTGAAAACGTAAGATTTGTCCAAGATTGAACACACTTGAATACTTTTTTATGATCAAATCAAATGAATTTTCGAATCTTTTTGACCATGTGAAGTATTAATAGTGAGCAAACGAAAAAGTAAAAATTCTTATTTGAATAAATATAAAATGATAGTTAATTTTTTTATACATCACTCAAACAACTCTCGAACCGAATTTTATTTGAAAATAAAAAACGAACATTTAATCATCATGATATTAAAAAAAACATGCTTAATTGATTGAAGATACAAATTTTAAACTTATTCTTACAATGCCAAAAGTCACGCAAATTTGGATCTATTGGCTTTTTTTAAAGAAAATCTTGATCTTTGATCCTTCAGCAAAACAATGAATTATAAAAAATGTTAATTACAAAAACACAATAGTAAAATAAATGAGTGAATGCTAGTTTATTATGAATGGAAGAATGCAAGTATTAAAGTGTGATGAAAGCGTGTGAAATCTAGATCAAAATCTTAAAAACAGAAAATAGTGTGAGAAAAAACGATGAAGTTTGTTACAGCGTCGTGCTCCATGGCAGTGAGAAAAAAGGCCGTAATTCTGATCAATTGTTTATGTATACAACAAAATTATATTATAAGACGATTATAAATGACACTAATTCAGCAAACAATAATATTATATATCCTCTGTAAATATAAATATATAATAATTATATACAATATGATTTATTATATATACTATACATATAATATATATATTTATATATATACACATATATAGTATATATATAGATATATGAATAAATATATAAAAATATTTATAATTAATTCTAATATTATTATGTTGATTATCGTTTTTATTATATTATTATTATAACGACAAAGATGACACGACGAAGATGAAGATAGTGGTGATTAAAATGATGATGAATATTACAATTATGAAATTATTATTAATACTTAAGAAAAGGTTCACAACGTGCCGTGTGTATGTGGAAATAAAATATATTATATAATGGACATTGTTCAATTCAATTTACGATTTCACATTTATTTATGAACCTTATAAATCCTTTTTTTTTATTACATAGATTAAACTAAATTTATATGATGGACCGCATGATATAAGTGTTGATTTATATTTTTGTCTTATACAACCGAAATGTAAATAAAACTCAGAGTATAGATATATCTATTGAAAAAGTTTGATATTTTTAAATTTAGAAGTTGCTGCCGAGTTTTACCGATGACCGTCCGTGAGCTCTGTAATTCGTAACTTTTGTTCTGATTTCTTTATTCGAAAAGCGGCTCTATGGTAAAATTTGTATTATTTTTTTGGACAACTGGTTCGAATTATAGCTCATTTCATAAATTGAATTTCCCGAAAAATGCAATCGAAGTTTTAAAATCAAAAGCGTGCAAACCTTGAGCTTTTGAAAATTTTCAATCCCTTTTTAAGTCCTATCTATTAAAATAGGCTGTAGTTTGGACAAAATTTCCAAACAAGTTTCTCCAAAAAATTAAACATCAAAGTCTCCTTAAGGGGACACACCAGTGTTAAAACCTGAAATTTGATTTGAAAATTGAAAATTTTGAAAAATCAAAAAAAAATTCAGAAAAATCTGAAAAAATTCTAGCGTATTCTTTGATCAATTCTAAGAACTTTTTCATCGGCAAAATTTTTTCCTCAAACCTTTCTTTTTCGAGTTAAAAATTCTAGAAGGTTTCTAACAAATTTTGGTGTTCTAACCGCATTTTGTTTGCTTAAAATTTATTTTCTCCAATCTAAACCGCGATAACTTTCAGTTTAGGGTCCATGGACGCTTTATTTGCACCCGAGACGCCAGGACTTCAACGATTTCCATGTGAAAAATTGAAAAGAAACAAATTATTTTTTTTCAAAACCACGTTTTTTTTGGATAAAATCATCCATAACTTTTGACGGGTTGGTTATATCGAAAATCTGACTCCGGATTCAAAAAGTTCATTAAATTTTGCGTAGATTAGGCTTACTCGCAATTTTTTCAGACCCCATTTTCAACAAAAATATAACGCCTCAAAAAAGTATCGAAAAAGTGTCCGTCCCGGACTTAGTGGGTTAAATAGTATTGTAAAATACAAATACTACTACAAATACTACTGTTCTTATGACATTTATCAAAATTTTGTTACACTCAAGTGAAGGAGAATACTTTTACAACGAATTTAAGCCATCAACCATAAAAATTGAAATAAAATCCTGCGGTTAGTTTTTATCAAAGCTGAAAATTTGTTTTAATGGTCTCAACCTATAAATTGATATGCTGCGGGTCCATAATTGGATTGAAATAGCGAACATGAATGATTAAACAATTTAAAAGAAAAAATAAAATTGATGAATCCAGATGTTCTCAAATGGTTATCGCAATAACCGTTCCTGAAAATTGATCCGAATCGACCGTAAACTCTCTACTTTCCCGATTCAAGATATAAGGATACGGGTACGCTGCGCTGCTTTTTTGATTTATTATATTTGTCAAAGGGGGCGCTGGTGTGAAAAACAAAACCTCCAGCGAGGCGATCGAAATCATAGGTTCCTTTCAATCAGTAGATTTATGACGGAAATAAGAAAAAATGAAAATAGTATATTTCTCAACGGGTGCACATATGGTTTTTTAGCAAAACGAGGGATTATAGCACGAGCCGAAGGCGAGTGCTGTAACGAGTTTTGTTAAAAAACCATATCTGCACCAGTTTGAGATAATATTTTTTCCTACGAGAGCCTAAAATTAGCGGCAAAGTTGCGTATTTTAGGTTAGAGTGGGGAAAAAGAATTATTCTTAATTAAATTATTCTTATTTTTTTGTGTCGAATGACTTGTGGGTCGGACTTACCCGAGGTCCCGTGATGTTCCGTCAAAGTGTATACACAACCCTTGTGCTGTAGCTTCAACGGTTCGCTCTGAATGTTACGACAAATAGGGTGCATTTTGCAAAAATATAAAACGCCATAAAATATAAAAAGAATATAAAATTTAACACGCAAAGTCCACAAAAAGGCTCACGGAAACAACCATATCTCAGTGAATAATCAAAATTTTGGAGTTTTGAAAAATGTATTGAAAAGGGGGACAAAAGATCCTACTAGAAATGACGAAAAAAATTCCGATTTTAAGCCCCTCTTTGAGCCTTTAATAAAATAGATGATAGAAAGTAAAATCGCGCGCCCAACGCGTGACATGTAAAAACCACAAAAACCATGTTTTTTCTTCTTTCTCTTGCTATAATATCTCGCTACAATCAAAAAGTCCCTCTCTGTAAAATGTTTATATCAAAGGAAAATTTCCTGATCTTTCGATCAAGATTATTTTAAAGAAATCTTAAAAATTATGAAGTTTTTGAGATAATCGATCGATCGAGATAATTAAAGTTTTTCTGGCGAATTTTCCGAGAAAACTGAAAATTTACGGGATCCTCCTCATCGTAAAACTGAGGCAATTTTCCATCGAAATGAAGGATTATTCTTTTGTCCTTGGTGCATTTAGAGTGAGATACAAATTTAGCGATTCGACCGAATAATGCCGCGCGTTGCTTCACTGGGAAATTTGACTTGAAATGTCCCAAATATATATTACATATAAGTATTTTATGATTACTATATCATAAAAAGATGCCAAAAACGTAGGTATTAATTGAATTTTTCTTTCAGGTTTTTAAACGCATTAGAGTAGCAAGCACATTTTTATTCTAATAAATGCAAAAAAAATTTACAATTGGTACTTGAATTTACATCTTTACGCGAAAATTGAATTTCGCGCTGATTGTGAGTGCTGATTTATAAAGGAGCACGACTCTATAAGATCTGTGCGAAACAAATAGGCTACGCAGCGTTTAGGACAGTCATTTAAGGTGGTTCTTTCAATATTTGTTGAGACATGAGACCTATCCTATCTTATAGATTAAATCACACTGAATTCAATGATATAATTATTTATGGGGCTTACGCTGCAAAATCTCGAGATATTTTATCTCAAAGTATGCTATTTTAACATGGGAAGCATAGAACGGCCACCATTCATATGGTATTTCTAATCAAAAATTAATTTGTTCGGGTATCGGAGTGTATAGGTTTTATAGAAAAAATTCTAATCTTTCAGCCTGTGTATCGTAAAACAGGGCTAATTACGCTGCAAAAAATCAAGATTTTTCACGTAAAAGTGAAAAAAACGATGTTTTTGCTATAAATCAGCTGATGTCAGGCTGCGCAGTACTTACTGCGCATACAAAATATACAGCTCTAGGCAAGAGTTCACTATAGAAAAACTTAAACTGAAAGAACCACCTTAATGTTAAATATTGTGACTGTCACTTACAATCTTATGGTCTTATAACTTTTTACGCAACTCTGTCTGCACTTTGCAGCGAAGGCGTGCGTATTCGATGAGACTGAAGACACGTCGTATACGAATTAAGATCGTAACCATAAAATACATAATAGTACAATACTTCTGTTTACACGGTATAATTGCCAATTACAATAATAATACATGTACATGCAAAAGTATCCCATCTACTGTGACATGGAGTTAGTCGAATATTGTTTGAAATTTTAAGTTATTATTAGCGCTATCATCTATACTTCAACAAAAATGGGTATATTATTTGCAAAAAAGAAGCCCTCCAGCCGTGTGACAGATCAGGATAAGGCTGTTTTGGTAAACAATATTGGCATTTGTAATATAACTTTGGTGACAACGTTATTTTTTATAATTTTAGCAATTGAAGCAAACAAGAGATAAAATGAAACAATACCAAAGAAGAATAGAACAAAATATTGAAAGAGATAGAGAAATTGCAAAAAAGTTGATAAGCAAAAATCAAAAAGAGTAAGGATTTCTTTGTTTTTCTATGTTACCATATAATTTTTTTAAATGTTCATTCACACTTGGATTTAATATTTTAACATGATACTTTCTGCAGCCGAGCATTGCTTCTACTTCGTAAAAAGAAATTTCAAGAACAAATTCTAGTCAAAACCGATGGTCAATTAGAAAATGTTGAACGTATGGTTCATGATATTGAATTTGCTCAAGTAGAAACTAAAGTCATTGAAGGACTTAAATCAGGAAATGATGCTCTAAAAACATTACATGCTTTGTTATCAATCGAAGAAATAGAAAATATTATGGACGATACCCGAGAAGGTATAGAAAAACAACAAGAAATAAATGCTTTGCTTGTGGGATCGTTAACAGATGACGATGAAACTGAAGTTGAAGCAGAATTGGATTCTTTGTTGATGCAAGAATCTGAAAATGAATCACATAAGAAACCAACTCAAATTTCTTTACCTGACGTACCTACAGATGTTCCAGTAGATGTAACTGCAGATGAATCAACTAAACAAAAAGGTATTTTCTTGAGACAATATGTTTTTTTAAAGACTCATTTAAAAAGTTATTTAAACTTCATAATTTATTTTGACAGAGCCCAAACAAAACAAAAAAGAACCACTTGCCTTAGAGGCCTAGTTCTAAAACTACATTCTATAATTATTGTCAATACAGTTGTCAGAGGAACTTATGACTGCAAAAAAATATGATTTGCAAGTAAAGTTTAAGGATCATTATCAAATTCAAATTTAAGAGGCAATTTCTATAGACAAAAAACTTGCTATGTTAATATTTATTGTGAAGCCAATGTAAATATGTACAGATGGAATTTGATTTGGTTTAAAATTTAAATAGCTCTAAAAGAACCATATGTTAAGTATTTGTATCATGAAAACAGCGTAGTGAAAATTTTGAATTCATACTGAATGAATATTCTTCAAATATTTTTCTAACTTTTACAAAACTTACACAAGTTTATCATTTTAGTATTTTATATATAAATGTACATTGTTTTTAAACAAACTCATTTGTAGTTTTTAACTAATTTTTAAATTATATGACTAACAATTTTATAAACATCCTTAAAATTGAATACCTTTTTTTATACAGTATAATAAACGATTATAAAGAAATAATAAATACTAAACTTTACTATGTGTAATGTAACATATTTTAATTGGAAAAAAATTGAATAAAATTTTTTTTGCTAACAAAAGTTGAACTACCAAAACTTTTTAGTGGATTAATATAAGATTTTATTGATTCAAAATATTTTATACCATTCAGAATTCATTTGATTTTATTTCTATTAATTTTGGTTTATTGTTACGGAAAAATATTTGGTTGATGTAAGCCACAAACCAAAGAACTTACCAAATAAGGATTCAAGTATCAATGCATATAGTACATATGCTGTAATATGTATATTATATATTAATATATAAGTATATTATAGTACATATAATGCATAATAGTTATGCATATAGTAATATAGTTGAGGTTGTAGAGTAAATACTGTATGAATTGTAACTGAAATCATATTACTTGGCCCTGATCATAAAATCATAGTTAATGTTATATTTTCATTTATGCTCCTGGTTATTTTCGAGTACAGTCTATGAAAATTGTTTTCATAGTATTGCATGATAATTGTCCCTTAAAAATTTTAATAAATGAACAAGTCATTTTTTTAATAAAATTATTTCCAACAATTTATTTTAAAGTCTTAAATGTTCAGTTGCATAAAAATATTCTACATTAGTAATCTAATGGTACTTATTCAAATTTTAACTAAAAATTGCAGATTGTAGAACACACTGTACTATTTTCATAATGTTAATACAAATTATTGTATAGTGTGTTAGTTTTATTAAGATTCAAATTGGTTTCATAAGCTTTACTCCGCTAATGCGACACCATATTTTGATTTTAAAGAATTACTTTAACAAAAATTGCATAATAATTAAATAGTTATCAGATTTCTAGATATTCTACAGCAACTCATCAACTTGAATATTAAATGCTTAGAAAAAAAGAAAAACTCTAGAGACAACGTTTTTATATTAATTAATGATTGTCTCATAGTATGCCAGCTTTCTCGAGATTAAAAACTCTTTCCCAAAAAGTTAACATAATTGTATTTTCACACATTACCTCGTAAAATAATATCTTTCTGTCTCATAAAATATGCTTGCAGTTCTTTAGTTTATTTTCAACATAAACGTCTTTTTTCTATTTATCCTAAGGTGTTCAACTTTACATAATGAACACAAATTAGTTTTATATTAATTTATTTATTCAATTCGGTTAAACACAATTTCCCATGTATGGGTATATCGTGACTTCTGAAAGAGTGAAATCATTTTTCATGTTCACGTACATATAAAAAATTGACCCCGACGAATGAAACGACGTAAAAGGGAGTATAAATAAAGGTCAAAATGATCATATGAAATTATGAATTGCAATAAAATGTGAAAAAGTGTAAAATTGCTGACGATTTCGGAATGCCATAAAAATTTTATGACATTATCTTGATTGTTACGACAAGTTTTTATCAAGTGAAACATTAAATTATATTTTTGGGTCAAAATAATACTTTTTTACAAAACCGTGCGCACGTATGTCACCGATCTTGACGCGCTTTTGGTATGTTATAGTACATGGTAAAAAGGTAAAAAAAAAAATATTTTTAGACCCCCTTCCCCCTCCTACCCCCCACTTCTGGTATAAACGTCCATTTTTGATCTATATTTTTTCTGAGGACATGAAGCAATTAAAAAATCTGAAAAAATTCATAAAAATACTTTTCAACAATCCAAACAACCTTGAATTTTTTAAGATTTTTCGAGTGCTTCAGACCTTCAGATAAAATCATTAAAAATTCTAAAAATCGAGATACGGCGATATGAGCCGATGTAGAATTCGGACATTTTTTCAGTTCTTTTTTGCATTGAAAAACATAACCTTAATTTTTTTCAGATTTTTTCAGATTACCTAACGCACCTTTTGAAGCAAAAAACCGCTTTTTTTAACGAAAATAAATTTTTTAGGACGGTACGGAGCCTCGAAAAATCTGGAAAAATTTTTTTCTTGTTTTTTTCATCAAAATGCATGACCTCAAATTTTTTCAGATTTTTTAATTGAAGGTGACAACTTCTAGGGCCGAAAAATGCTATTTTTAACAAAAAAAGGTTCCTAGAACCCGATGGTTCCGGTAAAAAATTTTGAAAATATTTTTTCTGAAATTCCTTGACAAATTTTAATAAATTTTGACCGTTTAAAAATTCTGATTGAAGCTTCCTAGCTCAATCTAGAGCAGGACAAAGATTAATGCAAAATTCGGAAGACGGTTTCTGAAGACATTAAGAAACGGTAAAACTATTTTGATGCTCTTGAAGAGGGGGGAGGGGGGGTTATAGCTAAAAAATAACTGCGAAAAGTCTGCGTAGATTAATTTAATTATATTATATTTCTCTAAAAGAACACGCTTTATGGTTGAGTTTTCCATATTTTGAAAAAAATGAAAAAAAAATTTTATTCTTACAGTATGCACATTAGGATCATTCGAGCAGCTGCATCACCACCGCAAGGTGCTTTTGACATTTATAGCATGAGAGTATAATATGTATTGAAAAATAGGTATTATACTCTCATGCACCAGATATGTTAATATTTAAAAGTATGTTGTTCAATAAGTGTTATACGGCGGAAATGCAAAATATCGTATGAGCGTGAATCATTCATAAGACCAACATTTGATTCCCATACATTCTCGCTACGAAGAAAATCTTAAAAGTTTTAGGTTTATAAATATTTTATAACGTTTTGACACCATTAATTTAGTTTCCTTCTCTTGTACGCACTATTAAATAAGTGTATATTCAGTACTCAAAATTACATCTTTTCAAGTATTGAAAAAATATCTGCACGAGATTTTTAATTGATTGCCGTGAAATTTTTAATATTTAAAAAAAGTAAAATAAATGTTCGTGTTATGCTTGAAAGATTGTAAGACTGCTACAAAATTGTTTTCGAGACAAAAAATATTTCACTCGAATAAGTATCTGCTAAAATTGTTCTCTTGTTTTTGTTCGACGAAATTTCTAACAAAACATTATTTACGCGCAAGTGTGTTGTATTATTTACTTTTGAAATTCTCGAGTAAACGTACATCTTGTCGTCTTGATAGCTGCACGAGTGTATATGATATTAATAAGGTGTGTACATACTTACAAAATGTGAAAATCGAGATAGCAGTCGTTTGATCGCTGCGTCTCTCTCACTGACATTTTGATATGGTATACTGTCTGATAACACGAACCGATAACTAGAGTCGCACACATTTTATCATTTATATTTTTGCACCGATTAACGTATAGTTTTCCGGACTACGTGATTTTATTTTGGACCAAAGTTGAGGAGCACAGTAAAATCATGTAAAATTCGATCATTACGAGTTCCACGTTTATCTAGAGTTTTTGGAGGTCTTCGACAGGCTTTTGTTAAGAATTCATTTTTACTATCCGTTTCGTGATTCGTGTTATATCGTATCAATACAAAATTTGAAATAACGATCTATCAACGGAATAATGCGATTTTTAACAACGCATAGTTCTCTTGAATCAGGTTAGTGAAAATTGTATATATTTTTATTATTATTCATGTAGTTCATAATTTTTGAATATGACAATTTATTATCAACAGACGTTCGCATTAGGAGTATAATACAATATGTAAATATGATATTATATTATTGTTGGTAATACTATAAGATAATAGAGTTAACTTCGTCTGACTGGCACTCTCGAAACCCACTATCGAAAATATTTTTAACCTAAAATACGCAACTTTGCCGCTAATTTTAGGCTTTCGTAAAAAAAAAATAGTATTATCAACTGGTGTAGATATGTTTTATAATAATTAAAATTGTCCTTAATTTTCTTATTTATTTATATAAGTAATATTAACAAAGAATCTTTGGTACCTAATGATGGAACAGATGCAAACTTTGCGCGTTCCATTATAGGATCAACGAAATCAACGATTGTTCCAATATTGGAATCAACAAATCAATGGGCTATCTTAACCTGTACTATTTCACTAAAGGGACACTACTTTTTTTGGGTATCCCTATCAATGGAACGCGCTTTTCAGACACACTTAATTAATTTATTCCATGATAAAATTATTATTGCACAGTTAGCTTCGAAATCATTTTTTATTGATTATACTAATGCAAATTGATTCAATTGCTTTCAAGATAAAATTTTAACAAAATCTTTATTTATAAGGGTTTAAATGCTGGTGTTCCACAACTTGATATCTTTTCGTTGGTGTTCCACAAATCGGTGCTTTTACCTCATTGATTAAATTAATTAATATAATGAGAAATGTTCTTATTCATTTTTTCTATAAATTTTTATTTGATTGTGTGAATAGATTTTTCTTGTAATGTTTATTTAGCATCAGAAAACGACGTAAAACACATTTTATGAATCCATGTTTAGTGCTTTTTAATGCATCGGATGCATCAGTTAACTTTGTATAATTCATTCTGGGGGATTTCCAGTATATCACAAAGTAAATGTACACTTATGTGTTTATCAGTCAGAAGAGGTTAAGCCTTTTTTTCATAAATGAAAAACACTTAAATATTCATTATATCACATAATTCTGATAGAAAATAAAATTTTTTATCTAAAAAAACCCGATGAATTAACCAATTAACATTCAAGGTGACGAAATTTTTCGTTGATCGCGATCAATGCGATTTTTTTTCATGTTTCGGTTCTTGAAAAGACTTGCAAATACATTAAGAACAGCAAAATGAAGGCCTTTTTTGGAGAAATACGCTGTAGAAGTTTCAGAAAACTGCATTGAAATTTTGATATTTCGGTTGACTTTTATATTCCCGTAAATTGTCATCATCGACGAAATCAAAACAACTGAAACGGAAAACTACAGTTAAACCAGATTTTTTTGAAAAGTTTATGTACTAGTAGCCATGTAAATCGAAATAGTTGAAATTTTTTTAATAATTGTAAAATATGTTCTTACCATACATTATTGTCAAAAAAAAACTCATTCCAAAGCTCTGAAATCCTCGTTGCATTACTTTTTTTAATATTTTGTGTAATAAATCACTTGCTGTATAATCTTGAAGCGAATTCTTCATCAAATTTTTTTCTATGGGGTCTTAAAATCTAGAGAAAATGACTTTCTTCCATTTAAGGAGGCTCGAGTGCGCATATTTTAGCGATAAACTAGAAAAATGATTCCATCAAGACATAAAACCTATGGTGCAGCGAGAGCATTAAGAAAAAAGGTGCGTTACAAAAGAAAAAAGTAAAAGGCATGCAAATATATTAAGAATACTTCATCAATTTTTGCCCTCTTTTTATTAATTTTACAGTCAAATGACCTTAATCTTGACTTTCTACAGGTCACTCAATAAAAAAGCTGAAATCCTCAGCTTCAAAAACCTATACACAATCTTTTTCCGTTATTTCATCACGTAAGATAGTAAGAAAGGTTTTTTTTCCAAATTTTTCGAGACTCCTAAGATTGTCCTAAAAAAATTATTTTCTTTAAAAAAGGGGGTTTTTGGCCTTAAAAGGTACGTTACTGAAGCCCGAAAAATCTGAAAAAATTTGAGGTTACTTTTTTCAATGAGATAAAAAACAGAAAAAATTTTCAGATAGGTTATTGCATCCATCTGGACTTTCGAAATTTTCAATGATATAATCTGAAGGCCTGAAGCACTCAAAAATCTGAAAAAATTCAAGGTTGTTTGGATCGATGAAAAATACCTTAATGAATTTTTTCAATAGCTTCAGGGCTTCAGCATATAATATAGATCAAAAATAGACATTTATAGCGGGGAAGAGGGGTCTAAAATTGTGGTTTTAAGGACCTTTTTACCACGTACTATAACATACCCAAAGCGCGTCAAGATCGGTTATATACGTGTGGTTGAAAATTTAAAAAAGTATTATTTTGATCCATATGGATTTTATAACGAAGTTACGTCGGCCAAAACGACATTAATCTTCCTTCCCCTTATCCTGTAAACTTCCCTAGTTCCCGGTTATTCAGGAACTAATAATTAATCAATATTTATTCGGCTAATCTAATTTTGTATCTTCTGTATTTATTAATGATTTAGACATCACATCTGTGACTGACACCCTTTTCAATAAAAGCCTATTTATTGTTATTTACACGATCATATAGAGGTCATTGATATTCGGCAAGTTTCCCCTTGTTTCAACCGTTTACAAAAACCTGAATGGACGTGCCCTACTTTTTTGTACCGAAAAACTTTATTTTTAAATTTGATAAGGGCTAAACCATTTTATTTCGACTCCATTACCATCATTTGGCATGATGTATGAGTGATATAACCTATCCTATGTGAACTGAAACTTAAAAATTCCTTTCCTTTTTGCTTGAATTTTTTTCCGGATTTTGTTTACACTAAGAAAAAAATATGAGAAGTATTAAGAAAAATTACAGTAAAAAGTACCATAATTTTTAAGAAAGAGGGATATCTAATATGATAGTTATTTTTACTTTATAATAACGTCGTCTCGGGAACAGAAAGATATCTTAATAAACCCAAAGGCTAAATCAGTGCTAATATGTCTAATATTATAAAGTAGGTGCTTGACATTTTTTGCCTCCGAGTTTATTGAGATACTTTCATGCTCCGAGGCGATGATGTAAAAAAAAAACATTCATCAGAATTTACTATTCACTATAGATCCTCGTTTTTTTGTAGATTTTTCAATTATAAAAATTGGATACTTGCACATCCCTAACCATAATATACCAAGAAGAAGACAACTGTAATAAGTATAATAACCATTTAGTCTATAACTGTCTTCTTTCTTCTACTAAAAATTCTCGAAAAATATCTCAACCTATCCACTTGTACTTGCTCACACATAAAAAGGTAATATTTTTTCTATTTATTTATATTTTTTTCAATTAAAATAAAATAATCCATAATAAGATTAAAATCTGGCATAAGATCTGATGGGCGTTCACCAGAACTTATATCAGATCTGATATCAGATCTGGAGTTAGATTTGATACTGGAGATAGATCTAGTCCACTATTTTTACCTGAGTATAATTATAACTAGTGCACAAATACCAGCAGAAGGGGGTTCTTTTGCAAACACTGTGCGCAAACAGCTGAACTCGTATAGGATAATTTGTAGATTACGCAACGGGGGCGGGAGGTTGTCGATCTTCAGGAGTGCAAGATGGACAACCGCCCCAGTTGTGTACACTAACATTATTACAACTTGCAGAAAGTCGATTTTTGATACAGCGTGCGGAAAAACGAACGCGATCGTGCGATCGCGCGATGTGCGAAAGTAGCACTTTCCGCACGCTGTATCAAAAATCGACTTTCGATACAGCATGTTCGTAATGAAATAGTTATATATACAAAAAAAGGCCCCAAAAGGCTTTTTTAAAATTCCGTGTGTAATGCATGAGTTTTATAACCTTTCAGTGACTCAAAAACCACGTTTTACGCACGAAATGTTACAAAATAACTTCATTCTGCTGTGCCAGAAACTGCAACTTATATTAAGTATAAAATTGAGTATGATAAGCGTGTCCTTGCTGCGCTGGGGCCCTAAACTACGCTGTGTCAGAGAGTGTTATTTATGGCACTTGTATCATAAAGTACTATAAATGGAAACACGTCCTAGAGCAAAATGTAGCCACAACTGACTGAGTGTCTCCGTTACACGTGCGTAGAAGAGAGCATAGATGTAGTGTGCAATGTGCTCGCTCTGAGCCAGTAACGAATCTCTTGATCCCATTGTGGCATTTAAAGTGCCGGGAGAGGCTCGCATGCCGCCCGGCTAGCTTATACGATGCTTCGAATATTCAATTTTTTAAGACAAATTTTGATCCTGTCATTGAAAAAAAAGCAGGTACTAAAGATGATCGATATTCTTCAAGGTTTTTCGCCACTCGTCTGTTCCTGATTACCGATTTTTCACTGCACGTGCTTGCAGCTGTCAGTGATCTTTTTAGTGAAGTTTGAGGGCTATTCGACTCATACCTCTCAAACCTTCCAAGTTGAAAGCTTCGTTCACATGTCGCGGACTGGTACAAGTTTCAGAGCTGCCTAATCATTGTTCCATTGAGCAACTTTATTTAGCCGCTCCAAACGTTATAGGATGAAACCACCACGCACCTACGAGGTTGAATGAACATCGAGGCCATAGAGTTTTACCTGTGTGGAAGCAATGTTGACCCACGGTATCGTTTAAGCTCTGGTTGGCTCTCTCAATCCCGGAAAAAGCTATTACCACAATAAAATATTTCTACAGGGCTCTTGGATCTTGTTGACCTTAAAATAGCTAACTAATCACTCCTCCGTACTTTAGCTAATTCATTATTTTCAACATTCTTATGAATGAAAATGATGATTTTTACGGTTTGACCGAACTCGTACCTATTCAGAATAGGGTATTTGCATGAAAAAAAATCATTAAAACAATTACGTTATAGTAAAATACACGTATCAAGGAATATGGGGGTAAAAAAATAAACAATTTTGAACAGTCAGATAATTTTTAATACGAGAATAAAAATCAAAAAAATTTGGAAATTATTTTGAACTCCACAAACGATTTTGATTGGTCTGCATAACCGTGACGTCATACTTATAACTTAAGTCGGCTGCTGCATGGAATGTATACGGGCTAGTAATAAAAATTATTATAAAAAATGCCGTGAAAGACTTTGGATAATATGTTAATACAAGGAGACTCTACAAATCTCCCGAATGTTAATTCGTTTATGATATTCGACTTTTTAAAGTTGAACGTTTTAATACAACTGAAACTCGTAACGTCAAGTTAACCATTATACATCGAGAGAATCATATGGTAATTCTGCTAAAGGTTACTTTCGTCTGCAGAGAGTGAAAAGACAGTTTTCTTCGGCTTTCATCATTGTTTAGCACCCAAAAAAACAACTTATCTGGTGCTTTATTACTATTATTCTTACAATTAAATAGAAATCAACACAGGTTAACTGTTAAATGCAGCAACTCTTTTGCTATTGTATTACCTATTTTAATAATTTTTTTTTTATACTTTGCCGGCTAGGTGCTACCGCACCTCTTGGATATATATTAGACCGGTTCGTTTTGGAAAAATTTTTTTCAATTTTGGGAGCACCGGCAAAATCCTTTAGTTGAACTAAAAAAATGAAGTTTGCCGTCTACCTGGTGTCGCTAGATGCCCTGAACAGCTGTCGATAGCTTTTTGAAGTTAAAAAACGTAGTGCAAAAACTGGACAGCATCGCTAAATAAGATTTAAATTACCTACTGTGCTCTGAGGGTAAAATCAATATTAACAAGACGTTTTCTTACGTGATTTTTTGTGTAGAATCGATCCCCGTCGTTATTTCTGACCTAGGAATACGATAACATTGAAAAAAAAGTACTTTTACGTAACAAGTGCCCAAAAGGCGTTTTTGGGCACGAGTGTGCGGAAAACGACACGAGTGCAGGCTACGCCGGCAAGAGTGGGTGTTTTTTGCGCACACTGTGCGCAAAAAGCTGGGCACGTGTTGCATACAAAATTTTATGCAATAGTAGGCGAAAAATACGTTCATTTAAATGAGGCGTTTTACCGCACACCCGTGTCCAAAATGAGGCATTTTACCGCACATAAGTGTCCAAAAACGTTTTTAGTGCACAAAAAGCGTTTTTGGACACTTGTGTGCGGTAAAATGCCCCATTTTGGACACGGGTGTGCGGTAAAACGCCTCATTTAAATGAACGTATTTTTCGCCTATACTATTGCATAAAATTTTGTATGCAACACGTGCCCAGCTTTTTGCGCACATTGTGCGGAAAAAACACCCACTCGTGCCGGCATAGCCGGCACTCGTGTCCTTTTCCGCACACTCGTGCCCAAAAACGCCTTTTGGGCGCTTGTTACATAAATAAATATTTCGGTTTTGTTTTTTCATAAATTTCGAAAAGTTCATATTCGAGGGCGAATGAACAGAAAAAATCTAGAACATTTTTTGATACTACCAAAATGTAGGATTTTTATGACAAATCCAACGGTATATATTACCATATACTTTAAAATTATTTACATACAAAAAAAACGACTTTATCCCAATAAACGACATAACGAAAAATCAAATAATCGATAAGTGTATGAGTTTCTTCCAGGAAACGGCTGAATAGAATCAATTATGGAAAAAATTGCATGAAATCATCTGATAGGTTTTTGTCTCACCTTTTCAACGCCGGTTTCAGAAGTTAAAAATTCGCAAGCATTGCTGAGATACAGCGGTTTTTGTACGATGCGTTTTTGTAGCTTAAAATTCCAAAATTCTGAGTTAGCTCAATTTATAAAAAACCGGCGAAGCAGAATCTTAAGCTATTTTATCATTTGCAGTTTTTAAATTCAATGATAAGTTTGGAGGATGGACGTTTTGATGTAATAATTCAGATGAATCATTAAAATCCTCGCAAAAATCTTCGTAACAAAGTTGTAAATCAGCAATTTCAATGTTTTCAACAACTTCGTCATTTCAAATTTGACACGAATTATTTTTACTTGTTGATGGTCTAGACAACGTATTTTCAGTAGTCATTGATAATCTCGAAATTGTACTTTCAGTTCGAAATTGTAGTTTCGATGGCCTCGACAAAGTAGTTTCTGTAGTCGTTGATGGACTTGAAAGTAAATTACCTTCGTTATTATTGACAATTCCTTCAAAAATTAAATTTTGGCTTCGCATAGAATCAGCTATGTATCCTGAAGCTACTGAATCGGAGTGCCAACCTCCTAACTGCTTCATTGTATTCTAATTTGCTCCTGAGTTTGACAACAATTAAGCAGCGGTTCTGCGGAAACAGTGTCCTGTGTATCTCTCCGGTTAATTCAATTCCAAAAAAGTAGCAATGAGCGAGGGTGTTGATCCAACTTTATTTTTTCCAAAGACTTGACGAGTGCTGATAAGCAATTAGTTGAAACAGTGAAGATATATTTATTAAAGGAAAGAAATAATACAATGTAAATTAACAATGATCGGCGAGGTGTTCTCTATTGAGTCTCGGCGGTATCTGCTCGCTCGCATGAGGCGCACGCACTCTCGGCACACACACATACACACGTATACAGGTGAGAGCCACCGGCGGCAGAACGGAGCAGAGAAAACTCTATACAAAGAGACATCTATCTCTTTGCTCTAACACTTCCGCCTTTTCTCGTAAACATTAACAATTAGTCGGAAAACTCAACTTCGCATATATTTAAGCTTTCGCACATGAAATGAAAACGGTCATTCGGCAATGGCTTAGTAAGAAAATCTGCCTTTTGAACCTCAGACTTTACATACTTGACGGTAATTTCTCCGTTTTCGTTTTTCTCGCGAAGAAAATGGTATCTAACATCCATGTGTTTGGTTCTTTTGTGTGATTCTGCGTTTTTCGAGAGTTTGATTGCACTCTGGTTATCAACAAATAAAGGAGTAGACGAATCACATGGATGTTTGATATCATACAGAAGTCTTCTCAGCCAAATAGCGTCTCTTGCAGCTGTGGCTGCGGCCACATATTCGGCTTCAGTGGAACTTAGCGTAACCAATTTTTGTCTTTGAGACGACCAAGTAACAGGTCCATGACTTAAAGTAAACACGTAACCTGATACTGATCTTCTCGTTTCGACATCATTGGCATAATCGGCGTCCGAATATCCAATCAAACATGTGGCCGCATTTTGCCCGACATACTTGATCCCATAATCGACAGTTCCGACGAGATAAGCCAGTATGTTTTTAACAGCACGCCAATGTTGCATGTTGTGTTTGTTCAAGAATTTACTAACGTTATTTGTAGCAAATGCTATATCTGAACGCGAAATAATTGCTAGATACGTCAGCGACCCGACTAGCTCG